TTTAAGCCGGACAGGGGGGAGGGTGGAAGAGGGAGAGAAGGCGGGGAAAAAATGCAGGCACTTATGTGACCGATTGCCATACCAAGTTAGGATCTTGCAGGAGCTTATTTTGTGCATACAAGTCCCTGGGTCAGCATTTGCTAGCATCAGCAGAAGCAACCGCGATTTTGTGCAAGCGAAAGGATCACCTGCAATCTCCGAACTTGGCATGGCTAACGGCCACATTAGTGCCTGCGTTTTTTCCCCGCCTTCACTCTCCCTCTTTCCCTGTGTCCGACTTCAGCAAACACTCGTGGCTACGTAACCAGGCGCATAGTATAAATCCCCAACCCTCCGCACCTACACTTACGAACGTAATTGCCCGCATGGTGACATTGTACCTTTTACCTTTACTCATATCAATGCAATGACCCGATAAGAGTTCATTGAAGGCGAGCAAAGAAACCTCTGGTAGGTGATGGAACCTTATCACTTTTAATATATCTAGTCGCAACTGACATGAAAACGAGCCCGTGGCTCAATTGTTAGGGCAGCGGACAACATCGCCTGTTCGAGCCCTTGGGGTTGCACAAGCTAGATTTGATGACAGCCAGTCAGCCAGAATTTATCATTACAGTCTCCAATGTCTTTGTTGGTAATTTTCTTCTGTCCATAATATAAGTCGTTTTGTGGTTGTTGATGGGGCTCTGGAGTGAGCCCCAAAGCAGGCCGATCGATGAAAACCCAACTCTCATTATTAAACTGCCGATCCTACTCGGCATTAACACGAGCCTGAAGCCATATGGGTTGGGCTTTGGACTTTAGACCAACAGACCACGGACTCAAGCTTTAGGAGGGCACATCCTGAGTTTGTGTATGGCTGGTTGATGACGGTTTAAAAGCCCGAAATTGTCTTTGGTATTTACCTTATTATTTTCGCTATTTGATCATTTATAGAGTAAGTTCAACGTCACGTTAGTCTTTTTCAATACTATGTTAAGGAGTTTTGGCAGATTTGGTTGATTTAGTTGACCTGATTATGAAAAATCTCAAGGCATTCGGCGGTATTCGAACCTGCATAGCCTAAGTGCGTAGAGTGTTGGCTTGCGTAGAAGGCCTTTCCTCCTATGCGGGTTCGAATCCCGCCAAATGCCGCCAGTTTTTACACAATTGGGTCAACTAAATTAACCAAATCTGCTAAAGCGCTTTAACAATC